TAACCATTTTAGTGCTGAACAGAACAACACTTAATTAAAAGTCACTAGTCTGAACAAGTTCAAACATATTTTCTTGGACATGGGATGTAAATGTGGTGGGTACCAAAGCACTCATGGAGAGCATATACATCAAAATAATTACTTACTAAACTAATGAATTTATCACCTGTCAGTATAGACTGTTCCTGGGAGTGTTGACTCTCAACAATAAAAACACATTTACAAAACTTGGTAATTGCTGTCTAGTCTACATTTTCAGTTTATAGCAGTGACAATACCATCTTCTATTTCCCACCAGAAGATTTTAAATCCAATATACTTTTAGCTCTATAAAGTTACTAAAGACACTGCTGTTTAGATGTGGCTGCAAATTCTTTTCCCCCTCAGGGGAGTGGGGAGGTAGAGAAGCTGATCTTTTCTCATCCTCTTTCACGTGAAAAGACAATAAATCAGACCAAATTTAAGAGATTCTGCCTATCATGCCAGCAGAACAAATGAACAAAATTGATAGCTAAAACATTTGGATGTAATGATAATCTAGAATTAAAAGTGTTTTCCAAAGGAGAGAAGTTGATAGGGGAACAGACAGCTTTGCTATTGTTCCTTGTGTGGCAGAATCGTAATAGAAAAATTTTGCCTGGTTCATTCAAGTTTTTTAAGCATTATTTGTTTTTATACCTGTTTAAATAAACAAAGCAATGCAGTGCTCCTTAAAGTTTTAAGGACTTGCTTTCTCTCTTTCTAACTGATCCAAGAGATTTCCAGTCAACACCCCACCACCATCACCACCACCACCCTGATTTTTCTGATTTTACTTCTTCTGCCTGGAGCTTACCCCTAGCTTTAAACTTGGGCAGTCTCTTAGACCTCTCCCTCCTTGCATAAGGGAACTATATGCTCATGGTACTACCGCACCTGAACACATCAAAACCTGACTGACCTATCCTTGTAACACTTCTGCGATGCAGAGAACTGCTACTGCTCTGCAGTTTCGGCATGAGAATGGAGGGCCAGGGAAGCAGCTTGTCCCAGGCCACACAGGAAGCTTTTGGCAACACACTGAGCTGAACCTGTTTCCCAAGTCCCAGAGCAGCAACCTCACCATTGAACCACCTTTCTTCTACATAAAATACCTGAAACTATTCAGATTTTCAGGGCAAAGGCATATGTTCAAACCTGAAAACTGTTTAAACTGTCGAATGCCACAAATGTCTACTAGACCTGCAACTCCCTATTCGTGCAGATAACATCTGTTAAAAGTGGCTCATATAGTTCTGCACCAGAAAGCTTAATAAGTTCCTTCTCCAAGATTAAAGAAACACCTACACATTCTAGATGCTTCTGCAAGTCCCTGGAGGGAGAAAATGCTGCTTAGTGCTGAGACAATGAACCAAGCTTCCTTCCTCAACAGTAACAAAACCCTGCTGCTTTACCTAGCACTAACAGGAAAGTGTTATTTATAAAATCGAGCCATATACAAATACGTATCTAAATGTCTCTTAAAGTTAGCCTACAGCATGTATCAAGATGACCTTAGACTTAGAAATCTTCAAAGTCCTGATTTCAGAGATTGGTGTAAGAATAGAAAAAATTTTGAAATAGCTCTGCCATTCCAACTCATTTCAGTCATTCTGTGCATTAAAGCATAACTTCAAAATCTGAACTTGACCCATACTTGTTACTCTGACCTCTTCAGCAGGTAATATTTTAAAGCAGCTACATTATTTCTATATGCCAGAAAAGGTCACTAGGATTTTGATATTTATGTTTCTTATTTTATAAAGCATTGAGAGCAACCTTTCTAGCCATGCCTTGTTGTATTTAGGCTCAAAACCAAAAGAATAGATGTACTGACTGTTGTATTTCCCGTATCATTTGTTTCCTAGTAACATCTACAGCACTTGCTCCACTTCGTAAAAATGTTTTATGCTAACGCCAGTTACCTAAATTCCCATATTTTGGCACTGAAGTAAGTTACTATCCTGTATTTTCATCCAATTATACAAGTGCACTAAGGTTTATTTGGCTCTAAACCCCATTAAGTATTTTCTAAGAATGTTTCTATTGTTCATAATTATCAGGGGCGGGGGGGGACACCACCATCTTGCAAGAAAGATGCATGCTCCTGTATCACAAGCTATTGTTTGAACAAACACTGAGGTACAGCTGGATACAAGCAAGTGCACACCACAGCATGCAAGGAAACTTCTCACTTATAATACGCACTCAATTCCCAATGCTCCTGGCTTGCTGCATTTTGAAGGAAATATATGTACTATGATAGCTGTCAGCTTAAATAACCAGGAACACTTAGTAATAAAGACATTGATGGAATGCTAAATCTACTAAAATAGATGAAGAATTTTGCAGGCCTGGCAGTTTGGGCTATGTCCAACAGTACGCTGGAGACTGCACTGCAAGTAGAGATCTGTTCACATTTCAGTAATGTTCTTAAGTTTTTTCTAATCTGCTACAGTCAGTAAAGACTGACTTTTGCACTTTCTCTCACCTACACTAACGCACTGAAATACAGTCAGCCTTTACTATCCCTGCTGATATAGCATCCTTGTCTTCTGAAATAAGCCACAGCTACCTGGAAAAACCAAGGCCTTTTCCTGCATTCAGGTCTTCTCCTCATACACGGGCCTGCCTTATTCCCTGTGTGTGTCTTCTCTCTGTCACTCAGTTACTACTCCTGAGGAAGAATAAGTACCGGGGGAAAGGAGGAGAGGAAAAGCATTAAGATGCTTCCTATTTCATTCATATGCTCATTTTTCTTTTGTCTATTCTCTAATTTATATGGAAGCATCTGCTCCTCTGAAACCTTTAAGCACTGCAATACACTCGGCAGTGACCTACTGTGCGTCTTTTTCTTATTTCCACCCTTGAAATGCACAGCTATACAATGGAACACAAGGCCAACTGTCGTTATAAACCACAGAAATAAGAAAATAAATGTCATCTTTACAATTTACTAACTTGAGATTAAATTTTCCACACTAACAAAACAAAATCGCAATGTTTAATAACTGAAAAAAGAACCCAAGAGTCTCACAACATTTTACTTCTTATGCAAAGCTGTCTCAAACAGTCTAGTATTCAGTGATATCTAGGATACACAAAAATCCTATGTATTATCTCTTGAATTATCACTTTCTGCGGCATCACTGCTTATTTATCCCCGAGTTAAAAGGCTCTCCTCCAAATATCAACCAGGCTAAGAATCGCTCTCTACCATGAGAGATTTCAGCCCACTTTTAACACTTACTCATGCGACAAACAGGAAAACAGCATTTCTACACTTCTCTGCTTTACATACCTGACAGTTTAATCTATTCTTACTTGTTTTGATTCTCTCAAGTCAAAATTACAACCAGTAACAGGGGACAAGAATGCAGAGACCTAAAAGGCAAGGCCACTGTTCCAAACCCACCATTAAGGCTTACTAGAATGCAGCAAGTGTCCTGTGAATTTATCCAACGTGGAGCCTCATGAGAACAAGTGATAAAACTTAAAGAAGTCTTCCTATAGGTAATTGGCTGTGTAGAACTTCTCAAGGACTACCAAATTTGCTTTAAAGTTGTACCTGTAACTCAGTTGTCAAATGATCTGATACAAGGCCTCATCATACTTCATAACTACTTTCAAAACAGTATTAAAAAATTCCATCCTTAAAAGTGCAGTATAGTAAATTCATTAAGGCAGAGGAACTCATTATAGAGCAGCAGCAAAAGTTGCCATGCACAGCTCCAACTCAGTAAAGATTGTGTTTGTGCTGCATAACACAGCCCAAGTATAAAACGGAAGCGGAGAACTCAAAGAAAAAAAACCAAAAAACAACAAACCCTGCTGGATTCAACAGTGAGAAGCTATTCCTGGCACTGCATAGGCCCAAACCGTATGATCAAATACAGCTCTGTCTTCCAGTGTCATACATGGGTTTGAGTAATGGGAACAGAAAATGAAATCTTTACAGACATTATAGCCTCTTTTAGTAAAGTAAGCCATTTGCCAGAAGGGAACAAAAAAGCTGATACCATTCAGTGTACAATATGCAAGGATGTCGAGTAGTCTCTTTAAAAAGTACTATGCTTTTGTAAGAAGGTGAAGCATGGAGAGATCTAGCTCTTGAGAATCTAAAAAAAAAAAAAAAAAGGTCATTCTCCCTCTCAGCTTTACTCAGATAAGCAAAATCATTTTGCTCATGCCTAACTCGTAATGCTCAGCCTAACAAATTAATAACAGTTTCCCCACCTGAAGATAAACTGTTCTTTTCACTTGTTTATAGACTAACATAGTACCTTGATTAGAGAAAATTAGACTTTTTTTTAAAAAAGGCCTCAAAACAGGAGGCTGTTCCTCCAAGAGAAATTGTTCTCCTCTTGATGTTACTTTGCAAATATTTTATGCAATAATATAATGCCTTTTATGAAGGTTATGCATTAGTTACACCTACAGGAACTGCACAATACATACAGTATTTAAGTCTGTGTTAAGTTAGCAGCAGGTCAAACGCACATCTAGAATTTTACACATGCTAAAAACTGCAAGTATGACAGTATTAGTTACAGTTTAACACTAATTTATAATCAAGTCATCCATTTAAAGACACTTTCCTTCAGTAAGTAGCCAGCCCAGGTTACAACCAACCTAGAACACAACTCTGAGGTGCAGGCTCGCATTGCTAGCCCAGGCAACAGCTTTCCAAAACAGCCCTCTTCGGAACTAGCACCTTCCAAAGCTAAAAGCAAATGAGCCACTGAATGTTAGCTGTCCCAGCCACACTTCTTGAAGCTGCAGCTTGAGATGTCAATCCCAAAAGCGAGCACAACCCAGAGAGGCCCGGCTCGACAGCCCACACCCTCCCAGGCACCATCACTGCAGGGCTCTGCCCAGATAAGATCGCTCCTTTCCCATCATGCTCAAAGACCGAAGTTGAGAAGACAGGAGAAGGAGAAAAAAAAAAAATATTATCACGGGTAATGAGATCATCCTCTTACCTCTGGGGATGTGACAGAGCCCCGACTGCTCTGCCAGGGCAGCTCTGCCCCGGCCTCCGACACGCTGCCCCCGAGGTGCAACCCGGGGAGAGCCCCCACGTCAAGGCGGTGGCGTCGAGGGAAATGAAAAGAAAGAGAAAGGAGAGGGAGGAGGGGAGGGAAAGGCACGAAGCGCTTACGGTGCAGGAGCCGCACAAAGGCAGAGGCGTCGAGGGACGAGGACAGTGCCCTGCCCGGTCACACACCGGGCCAGCACGGAAGGAAGAACATCAGCCGGGCGCCTTCCCGCAGGGCCGGGCCGGGCAGCC